TGAAGTTTGTTTCATCTCAGAAATGAAGAAGAATAAATATAATATAAATAATCACGTAAAACAAATCTGACACCAGATCAGATAATCAAAGTTCACCAGCCTCGTTCAATACTGATCATGAATCTGAACAGAAACGAGCAGTGAAACATTTCGACATCCAGTGGCTCAAAATGTCCGAAACGTGGACAATATGTCCTCTGACTTTTGCTGTAGCGCCACCAGCAGGTCATAACATTTTACTCTGCTGTTAGCATGTGAGTGCCACAGGGTATTTCGGCCATATTGAAAGAAAACAAATAAAGTTGTAATATCACGTTAATAAAGTCGTAATTTAATGCGAAGAGTCATAAAATGTTGAGAAAAAACAAATAAGCGGAACCAGAGTTCAACCTCTGGATCTAAAATCTTGAAACAATCTAGGAATTATGTTGTATTTTGATGTTTGAACTTATATGAAAGTAAATTTCAACAAGATGTTAAAGATTTCTCATTTGAATGCAGGCGACAGATCGATCTTTTGATATTTACGTATAGTTTTATATTCACTTCACTGAGAGTGGAAAAGTTCAGCTGAAAATGAAAATCATGTGACTTTTAAAAACAGGAAACTCTTAATTTCACTTCCACCTGCTCTTCCTCATCCGACTGATCCAAATAAAAAAAACTGTAAAAATATCTGACGGATTAAAAACAAAGAAGAGTCAACTCATCTGGGAAATAAAAACAAAGAGCTGAAAGAGAGAAAAGAGCAGGAAACAGAAACTGCTTCAAGAACCTGTGGCTGAAAACCTCGACTTTAAATAATTTAGTTTTCATCAGTTTCATTCTGAAACACTGAAACTTTGCGTCACAGCGTTGAGTCTAACTCGTGTCTCCGTTCACGATCTATTTTTGGATTAATGGGACGCCGGTAACAAACCTGAGGATTGGTCGAGAGCATGTATGGGGGCGGGACTGTATGTGACATAATCGGCACAAGATGGCAGCGTTCGTAGGCGAGATAAGTTTGGCTTCATATTTGAGGGATTTCAAGAAATATTCAGCAGTGAAAGAGTCGGTTCACGTTCCCCTGAGGAGCAACAGCTGGACGTGAACAGCTGGAGACGCATCGTCCATTTTCATTCACGGTTTACAATGAAAACCTGTAACACACCTGGACGCAGGAGCCAATCAGGAGGTTGTGTTTTTCCGTCAGCTTCACCTGAACGCGAAGTGTTTCAGTCTTTTCAAACTGAACTGAACGTCTCTTTTCTCTCAGACTGTTTCAGATTCCTGCTGCAGGCGACAGAGAACACACCAGACCGGTCGGATCGTCAGCTGACAAAAGATCCTGAGGTGTTCAAACACCGGCTGAGATCGACGTGAGCCGACTGTGAGAGAGGAGCTCGAACGCAGCAGCTGAGGGGGGGGGGGGTCAACCTGGGGCTCAGGGGCCACACAGGGGCCCTTTAAAGAGGAAGCAGAGGGTGGAAAGAGGCAGCAGATCTCTGGAGCTGCTGTCTGAGGAGATTCACTTGAGGAGGATCTTAAGTTCTCTTTTTTAAAAACTCTAGAAAAACTTCTCAGACAAAATCAAACTGCTTTTAAAAGAAACTCTTCATCATGTAAATATCAGTCTTTTCAAAGTAAAAGCCTCTCACCTGTGCGTCCTGTGTCCAACTGCGTCTGAGTGCACTGACTCACTTCCTTAATGAATGAGAGAAGAGAGAGGGGGGGCAGAGACAAAGTGTTGACACCCACTGCGGGGGGTGGGGGGGGGGCAGTGTTTACACCCACTGCGCTACAGCTTCCGTGAAGAGCTGGATGAAGCGGAGGATGATTGACAGCTGGTTGACAGGTGAGTTAGACGGAGGGAGGAGCGGGTAAAGATCCTGGAGCAGATCCTGGAGCAGATCATAAAGGAAACTACAGAGACCTCTGACGTCATCACTGCTGATCTAAACTTCACTCTGACTTTGTTATAAATACATTTCATTAAA